GGGGGGGGGGGGGGGGGGGGGCAGAGGGACATAGAGCCCTCACTCACTAAAACAGCAGTGGCTCATACAGGCCTGCAAAACTCATCTCTGAAATATCACTAATACAAAGCCAAAGCCAAAAGAGTAATCAATTAATATACAAATCCACACAGTTGACCAGGCAGTAAGACATGCAGTGATACAGTCTTTCCATGAGTGAGAGAGAAAGAGAGAGCAAAAGAGAAGCGAGCTTGAGAGATGAATTTAGCATCTATAAAAACTGTTCAGCATATCTGACACGTTCAATTCATAACATTTCCATACATTTGTTGACAGCTCTTCTGCTTCCATTCAATCAGTTTTCAGAAGTTCGGAAACGTTTTGCATATGAGATCTGAGGCTGGGTTCAGCCAGGGCTCCTGTAATGGCTCTATACAGTTAAATCGGTTTTGTAAATACATGTGATTACTAAAACCGCTGAAAACAGCTAAAGAAAATAAAACAATTATAATAATACATTGAGATTTTTGCATATGTGACATCATCAGAATAATAAAACAACACACAGATAATCTGTGAGCAATGGAGGGTGAAGCTTCCTCACAGTAATGACGCATCGGGGCAAGGGGTCATTGTTATGGCATGAGGTCATTGCTATGGTAACAGCAGTGAACTGCTACTGCGGTCAAACTTCTTGCCTTTCGAGAGTGCAGCCACTTGTTTCATCAATTCCCTGTTCTTCGCCTGAGAGACGAACACAAACAAAACCACAGCTGGTGAACACTACAGTTTAAAAGTTCGCACACAGTAAGAATTGTTTTAAAAAGAAATATCTACTAACTACTGCAAGGATGCATGAAATTGATCACGGTTGAATGGATACATTTCAAACAAATGCTAACTTTCTATTCATCAAAGAACCAAAAAGTATTATGGCTTCCACAAACACATTAAGCAGCATAGCCATTTATAAAATGTTTCTTAAGCAGCAAATTAGAATGATTTCTGGAGGAGGAGGTGATACTGAAGGCTAAAGTAATGATGCTGAAAATTCAGCTCACAGGAATAAATTACATGTTAAAATTAAAAAGTTATTTAAAATCGTACTATCATTTCACACTATTAGTAGGCTAATTGTACTGTATATTTGATAAATGCAGCCTTAGTGAGCATAGAAGACTTCCTTCAAAAACACCAAAAACTAATCTTACCAACCCCAAACTTAAATGGATAGTTTACACAAATGAAAATTCTGTCATTAATTACTCACCCTCGTGTTGTTCCAAACCTGTAAGACCTTCGTTCATCTTTGAAACACAAATTAAGATATTTTTTATGAAATCCGAAAGCTTTCTGACCCTCTGCGCACAGTAAAAAGTATTCTCGTAGCTTCATAAAATTAAAGTTGAACCACTGATGTCTCATGGACTATTTTACTGATGTCTTTACTACGTTTCTGGGTCTAGGAACACTTCAGCTGCTGTCTATGAAGGGTCAGAGCTCTCAGATTTTATTAAAAAATATCTTAATTTGTGTTCCAAAGATGAACGGTTGTCTTACGGGTTTGGAACGTAATGAGGGCGAGTAATTAATGACAGAATTTTCATTTTTGGGTGAACTATCCCTATAAGAATAAATTTCTCAAAGTGCACTGTGTAAGACCTGTTGCTGCTCCATGGCCTCTTTGTGTGCTTTCTCCATGTTGTTCATCTTCACCCGCATATTTGACTCCTGATACTGAAAGTCTGCCTTCAGCTCCGTCAGCTGAAACAGTAAACAAACTTATGAAATTATCTTTTCAAAATATTCAAGAACAGAAGCCATTTTTCCAAAGTTGTGTGCTGTGATATCATCTATGGCAGTGAACCGGTTTCCCTTGCGTTTCATTACCAAACAAACCAACACAGAAACATTTCTAAACAAATGAACAACTATAAAAAGCCTCTAGAGGAGGACTCCAGACTATTTTTACTAGCACTGTAGCCCCTCGCTGAAAAGGTTTAGGAGCACAAGCAGAAAATTTAGGGGCACACCTTAAATCAGCCCGCAATGCAATTCACATATTTCCCCCATTTTAACTGTATTACTGACAAGTGCTTTGATAATAAATACTTAACTCATAGAGATTACAATGTGCAGTATTCTTTTAATTTCAGAGAGATATGACAAATATATATGATACAATTACTATGGTTTTGCATTAAGATGTGCAGTTACTAATAATATTACATGTTCATTTCATGCTTATACACATTTGACAGTAAAGCACCAAGCTTGAGTTGGGAAGCTTACAAAGTGATTATTTGTGATTTAGTCCCAAATTGAAGAAAAGTTTGTTTTTCAAAGCACTTTGTGCCGTTTTTTTACTTCATACACAAAAAAAAAAAAAAAAAGAGTGAAACTCTGACAAAATCTGATTTCTTGATGATTTGAGATTTTATAATAGTGATTTTATAATTTCAAAATATAAATTAATGTCTAATAAGCCAATAAGTGCTCCTCTGCTGGCATCTACAGGTTATAATGGTGATTTGATGTATTTTTTTATATAAGCGTTTGTTCACCACCACAGTATATTTTGGTCATCCCATTGAAAATAACATTCAAATTGGATCATTTAGGAGCTTTAAAGTGCTGGAAACAGTTGTGTGAAATGCTTGTAATCATTGAAAATTGCTTGAATTTCTCTCTCAAAAGGCTGTACAAACCTTGAAATGAATAATGTAATAACATTCGACTATTTCTGCCATAACACCATGGTTATAGACAGCGTTACTACGTCTGGTTTTCTACATCAGCGCGGTCTGATCCGTTTATAACAGATTTCTGTGCAGAATTTGAATGCTTCAGTAAATCTCGCAGCAACTTTTATTAATTCTGCAGTGAATTCAAATGCTTCTCACTGGATGTCGCAGCACTGTGCAGTAACAGTGTCGCAAAATCAACTTTGGTTCCCGAGTAAAGCTGTTCTGAGCTCGGACCAGTTTGTTTGTGTCACGGTCCGGGCTGCACAGCTCAAATGAGTAGCGGGGTTTTGTTACGCTTTTGTTTCGTTTGCCGTTTTATGTTTCTCATATGCGACAGAAATGGCAACGTGAGTTGAACAGCGCGGTCGCACAATTTACTCGCACCAGCAGAAAAATGGTCTTGGTTGCAGTCTGGAGCCCTGCTCTAGAGAATTTTTCTCCATTTTATTTTAAAAATTAAAACATTTTCGCTCCATGAGTTGGAATTTGTACTGAAATGGCCACACTGCATAGAAAGCTAAACTGGAATACACCACATTTGCCCTACAAACGCAAATTCACTGAATTCAATTAAATCTTTATCTTTACATATAGACTTCTAGTAACAGCTCAAACATTTGAGCATAATCATCACCTCCGGCAGCAAATGGACTGTGATGTGGGCGGCTGGCTGATCAGACAACAGGATGGTGCTCAGAGATACAAGTCTATTTGAATATGTTAATGAGTTTTTCCTTTCTGAAAATATGAGGACTGTCACATGATTCTGATTCAGTGACTCATACTTGTAGCCCGAAAGAGCTGTAGCTACAAAATGGGAACATTTCATGTGCAAGCGGCACCAAAGCCAGGAAGTAACATCAGAAGTTACCTTCCTGTCTTTCTCAAGGATGGTCTGGTCTCTCTGCTGGAGCATGCGCTTCAATGACATCACTTCCTCTTTCAGCTGACTAATCAAGATAAAGTTATCCGTGCCTCCAGAATCCATTGACTGAGTGATTGAACTACTGGAGGGGAAAAAAAGAAATGTGTTTAACATTTAAGGAGAGAATGTGACAGCCTGCCTGGAAGGCCAGAGACAGACAGATAGAGACGATTACAGTGAGAAGTAATTACCTGTCTCCATTGGATGGCTTTGTCTCTAGTTTGGGTTTTTTCTTTGGCGTTTCCTTCTGAATGCTGCACAAGAGAAACTAATTAGAGTCAATACATCTCAACACAATGTAAAATAACACACTGATCATCCTAAATATTAAACTGTAGTCGAATACAAACTGCATGCCTCCAGTTACTATGCATGTAAAAAAAAAAGACACATCTCACCTCTGCTTCCACAGTCCCTGATCCTGCTCTGGACTTAAAGTACCACTTATTCTGTAACACATACACAGGACAACAGTTTTTCAAGGATTTCCAATAAACAAATTTGTATTCTTGTGACTGGACGCTGATGCACGTTTGTATGTGTATTATATTATTATTATATTGCTTACTTGTGATGCGAACTTCCATGTCTGTGGTGCTGATGATTATGATGGTGTCTCTGATGTTCCTTCTCGCTGAGGGAAGAGTTAGAGTGGGAAGAGCCAAGGCCTTTCCGCTGCTCTTTTGTTTTCTGTAGAACACGACGATATGACAGTGTGCAGAGCCAACACAAGAGCTTCCCATCCACCTGGAGAAAAATAGAATTGACATCTGCATTAAGTGTGCTCAGCCTTATTTTAGTACGGTTTATATAATATTATAGCATTTCATATTTTGAATGTTTGAACTTTTTTTGAACTCTTATTTTCTCTTATTTCATCAAAATAATTATTCAGTTTTCATATTCATTTTAGTTGAACATTTTTGTAATAATTTTGCAGTGGTTCTATATATTTTTTTATTTTAATTGTAATAAATCTTTATTTATTTTTATTTCAGTTTTAGTACTTCACCATTTCCAAGGCAACATTTCTTTTTTCATGTTTTAATTGAATGTGTATTTTAGTGTTAAAGTATAATATAATAGTGTTAGTTAGAAATAACACTGCAGGTGCTCTCGCACCTGCTGTACACTTGGTTTGCATTTTGTGATGATGCATAAACACCTCTGACATTAGAGAATGAATATTTGTTAACAGTATGTAAAGGGATAGTTCATCCAAAAACAAAAACTCTGTCATCATTTACTCATCCTCAAGTTGTTCCAAACCTATAGGAGTTTCTTTCTTCTGTTGAACACAAAAGAAAATATTTTGAGAATGCTGGTTAACCGTTGCGGTAGCCATTGACTTCCATAGTGTGGAAAAAAATAAATGGCTACCAGCAATTGTTTGGTTACCAACATTCTTCAAAATATCTTCTTTTGTTTGGAATAACTTGCGGTTATGTAAATGACAATTTAAATTTTTATCCCCGTGTTTATTTTAGATTTTCAGCACTGTCATTTTCATTTCTCCTATTATAATTGTAAATCAAAACTAAGAATAGTGCTGAATGAAAAAAGAAAAAAAAAAGTGCTATCTTGGTTGCTAGCATAAAGTCAAAGTGTACCATCTACATGGATCTTTGAAAGGTGAAGTGAATTTCTGCACCACTAGCATCACCAAATGGATTTGCAAAATTAATGAATGATGTTTTCAAACAGGTTGACTTTTTTTAAAAATTACACCACCTCAGAGATAAAATGGCAACCGTTTCCATGTATATGCATCACAAAGTCCACCACACACTGCTGATAATAAATGTGTAAAGCTGCCTGATCAGTTATTAGTGGGAGGAGTGGTTCAGCTCTGTGTTGTGCTTGTGCCTAAACCAACAGCAGTTTTGTGCAACATGTCCGGTAATTAATGCCAGACATGATTGAGCGCTTGACGCTGAACAGAGATCTATAAGCTCATGCTTTCAATGTGCTGAAATCTGTAAACAGTGACTGTCCAATCTGTCAGAGCGGAGTGAATCACATCACACCACACACATGCAGCGTGAGAGAACACAGCCAGTGTGTGTGGATGAGTAATAAGAACATGCATGTGCGATTGGTCACCTTTCTCCTTCCCTCGTCCTTCCTGTCGAAGGCACACTGCTGCTTGCACTGTTCGCAGGTCTGTGGAGGGCCATACTTCTTCTCAGAGTTGGTGCAGCGCTGACATTTGGTCCCAATGAATGCAGCAATAATGTTACAGTACTGACATGGCTTCGGCTGGGGGAAAAAAAAAGGAGAAAAAGATATGTTAGTGCACACATCTGTGGGATTTCCAGTCATTTAAACATATACACTCTCAAGTGAACTTACCGTCCCAAACTGTTTGACATTCTGTGCGCATTTCTTACAGATAGTGTTGGTTTTGCTGAAAAAAGTAAAGTTTTTCATTAGCACAGAAATGGAGAAATAATCATTTTCCACAGCCTGGTTGTGTGACTGTCTTACCTCTCCTGCTGAAACTCTGACCTGCAGAAGGTGCATTTCACTATAGGGTGCGCGATCCGACACTCCTGCAAGGAAAAAAACAATCAATGGTACAGGTACGCTATAAACTTTAAATGTGCTTTAAAATTCTTCACGCCCGATGTTTAGATGTTTATTAATTTGGTCACCACTGTACACGGAACAAGTATTTTCACCAGCTAAAAAATGGTTAAGTCATGTTTTCACTGTAGTGTTTCAGTAGGTCATATCAGTTTACATTTCCAAACGTTCATTTTGCCATTAATTGTAATAATCCAGTGAGATTTTTGTCTGACAACAGCCAGTGCTCCACACAGAGGTCTGATCTCATGCAGTCTGTCTGGAATGACTTGAAGAAACAGAACAAACTGAAAGAGACTAAATCCAGAAGAACTGTGGCAATGTCTCCAAGATTATGTTTCTAATGGCCCTTTTCCACTGCATGGTACGGCACGGTACGGTTCACTTTTGGGGGGTTTTCCACTGGGTACAGTACCTGGTACTTTTTTTTGTACCGCCTCGGTTGAGGTTCCAAGTGAACCGTACCGTTACCAAAACATGCCGTGTAAACTCTGATCACGGATTGGCCAGAGAGAATCGTCACTACCTGCGTCACTGAACTTGCGACACAAACACAACAGAACCGCTAGATTTAAATCAGCACAGCCAGCGAAGGATCGAACGCAACTGTTTTGAGCCCAAAAGTGGCTGTTTTGTTGTCTGTTGAGGAAGTACAGACGTTCCTCTCGTTGATAGCAGAGGAGCGGATCCAGCGAGAGCTTGATGGGGCGACGCGGAATGAAAACATTTTTCAGGAGTCGCGGCAATAGAGGAGGCGCAACTATAACCACATGTGAATAATCCTGCCCACTCTAAAGCAGTACTGAACTGCAGTGGAAATGCAAACCGAGCCGTACCGTACTGAGCCGTGCCGAGTCGTACCACGCAGTGGAAAAGCGCCAAAAGACACTTGAGCGAGTTGTGTTCAACCATCTCTCTATGTTCCTTGCACAGAACAACCTCCTGGACAACAACCAATCTGGCTTCAAAAGCAGCCACTCAACTGAGACTGCCCTGCTCTCGGTTACTGAAACCCTAAGACTGGCAAGAGCAGCTTCCAAATCCTCAGTACTCATCTTGCTGGCTCGGTCTGCTGCTTTTGACACAGTTAATCACCAGATCCTCCTGTCCACCCTCATGAAGATGGGCGTCTCAGGATCCACACTCCAATGGTTCAAGTCTTACCTCTCAGGTAGGTCTTTCAGGGTGTCTTGCTACTGGGGTTCCTCAAGGCTCAGTGCTTGGACCGCTTCTCTTCACCATCTACATGTCATCATTAGGATCTGTCATTCAGAAGCATGGCTTTTATCATCACTGCTATGCTGATGACACTCAACTCTACTTCTCATTCCAACCAGATGATCCAACGGTAGCTGGTCACATTGCAGCCTGTCTGAGAGACATTTCTAGCTGGATGAAGGACCATCACCTTCAACTCAACCTTGCTAAGACAGAACTGCTAGTGGTCTCAGCCAACCCAGCACTTCATCACAACCTCTCTATACAGCTGGGTTCGTCAACCATAACTCCTTCCAGGACAGCCAGGAACCTTGGAGTTGTGATCAATGATCAGTTAAGCTTCACAAACCATATTGCTACAACGGCCCGGTCCTGCAGATTTGCCTTGTACAACATTAGGAAGATTAGACCCTTCCTACCAGAGCAAGCTGCACAACTCCTTGTCCAAGCTCTTCTTCTCTCCAGACTGGACTATTGTAATGCTCTCTTGGCGGGCCTTCCCGCATGTACTATCAAGCCTCTGCAACTGATCCAGAATGCAGAAGCGAGAGTGGTCTTTAACGAGCCGAAAAAAGCTCACATTACACCTCTCTTCATCAATTTACACTAGCTACCAGTAGCTGCTCGCATCAAATTCAAGGTACTGATGTTTGCCTACAAGACAACAACTGGCGCCGCACCAATACACCTAAACTCGCTAGTTCAAATTTATGCGCCCTCCAGAAGCTTGCATTCTGCAAGAGAACGACACCTTGTGGTGCCATCCCAAAGAGGCACAAAATCACTATCACGGACCTTTTCCTGGACCGTGCCCAGCTGATAACGAGCCGAAAAAAGCTCACATTACACCTCTCTTCATCAATTTACACTAGCTACCAGTAGCTGCTCGCATCAAATTCAAGGTACTGATGTTTGCCTACAAGACAACAACTGGCGCCGCACCAATACACCTAAACTCGCTAGTTCAAATTTATGCGCCCTCCAGAAGCTTGCATTCTGCAAGAGAACGACACCTTGTGGTGCCATCCCAAAGAGGCACAAAATCACTATCACGGACCTTTTCCTGGACCGTGCCCAGCTGATGGAATGACCTCCCTATCTCAATTCGAACAGCTGAGTCTTTGGCCATTTTCAAAAAACGTCTAAAGACATCTTTTTCGCCAGCACCTGACAAACTAATACTAGCACTTACCTATTCTATTCCATTCTATTAAAAGAAGAAAACAAAAACTAGCTATGTGTACTGTGAAAGACTAACTGAGACTTGTCACAGCACTTGCATACTGTTGCTCTCTTGTTGCTTCTATTGTTCTCCTCATTTGTAAGTCGCTTTGGATAAAAGCGTCTGCTAAATGATTAAATGTAAATGTAAGATGCTTCAAGAGACCTACCTGCAAAGCTACCTGAAAAAACTATGAGCAAGTGCACCAAGGGCAAAAGCCGCTTTAAACGCAAAGGACGATCACACCAAACGTTGATTTCATTTAGTTTATAGAAGTTAACTGATAAAAGAAAATCTATTTATGACATTATTTTTGGCAGCATCCTCATTTTACAGCAATTTTTTTTTTTTGCCTAAAACTTTTAACAGTACTGTAGCTTTGCAGGTAGGTTTCTTAAAGCATCTTGGAGACATTGCCACAGCTCGTCTGGATTTAGTTTGTCTCCATTTGTTCTGTTTCTACATGTCATTGCAGGCAGACTGCATGACGATGAGATCAGACCTCTGTGTGGAGCACTGGCTGTTGTCAGACTCCTTGTGCAAACGAAAATCTCACTGGATTATTACAATTAATGGCAAAATGAATGTTTAGAAATGCAAACTGATATTACTTACTGACACACTACAGCAAAAGATAGAAATAACCGACTTAAAACCATTTTTAGCTGGTGAAAATACTAATACTAGGCCACCACTGTATGTAGATGTATATAAACAGGTCGCAAAGAATAACAAGGCCAGTGCAGCTTAGTACAATTACAATGTCATGTATGACTGGTGGACTCTATCGTAAAGACAGCAGTGGTGTTTTAGCTTTAACAATGTCTAAATGCTTCTGCTGTTCACAGTTGACGCTTACACAGCTCTCTGCACACACACTTTTACCCCAGACTCATGTAAACAGTACGTGCATGTGCGCGCTCACCTTGCAGAGCTGCTGGCCCTGCGACAACTCCTCGAACGGGAACCGCTGGTTACACTTGGTGCAGGCGTACAGGGCCGATGTGGCCATCACCAACCCCACAAACACACACTTACCGCTACTGATAAAATATAAATACACTTAACGCGCAGACGACCTTTAACACATACGTTAAGGTGAGACCTGAGCAGATTCAATGCCAATTAAAACTGCACTTAATCCCGATAAATAAAATGGATCCAACCATCTAAAACTGCTCTGCGAACACTACTATAAAAACATCAGTGGCTTAACCTCATGATTAAAAACTACATATAAACTGATATATCGCTATACGTGAAAAGAATTACTAAAAACCTGATTTCATTTCTCGGTTTTTCGGCTCCTGGTGAGAATTTCTGCTTTCTCCTTTTTGTATCTTAAGTCGACGCACGAACCGGATGCGCCTTGTGACTACAAAGGAAAGATTCTACAGCCAATCAGATGCCAGCGTCGATGGGCGGGAAGAACGGGTTTGAAAAATCAGCACCAATCAAAGAGCTCGTTCCGCCTCATTAAAAAACTACGTATTGTTTTCGGTGTAACGTGTTTGTGATGTAAAGATCTCACCCTTTCTTGTGCAATGTGCATTCTTTCTAGAGAAACTGGCAACTGTGAGGGGCTCCATTATGGCTCAGACAGGAAATCAGAATGTTCTCTGTAGACTCTAGACAGCAAAACTAAACATAAAAGGTGACAGAACGGTAGAGTACCTAGTTGTAACCTAGAAACAATTTGAGTAATTGTATAATTAATTCGAATTACAGTGGGGATATTTACGGAATATTTAATATGATTACTAGTGATTTCCAGCAGCATAATCCCTTAAATTACTTAGAGCTGTAGATAGCACTGAAGATGAACAAGGAAAAAATAAAAGAATTTCAGCAGGTTCCAATAAATACCAACAAAAATAGTTAAATAACACAATTATACACCTTTTTCATAAAAAATAATAATAAGTACGTTCTTGCCTAGTTAAAGGTACTCTGCTCACTGTGCATTAAGTATTGACTTTATTGGCTCTTACATGAACCAGATACATCCAAACAATCTGTAATAGAATATCTGTTATTTTTAATTTTCCTTACTTAATCTTTCAATTATCGGACATTTGACAGTAAATAAGCATATAAGACCATACGTTTTAATAAAGATTTTCATCTAAATGTCGAATTTAGCTCATCAGCATTTTGATCGCAGCATTTTTTTTTTGTAAATGACACAAACAAGGATTTAAATTCCCATATAAATACTGTAGAAAGAAAAAAAAAGATAGCCTGCCTTATTGCTAAAATAATTTGATCAGTTATAGTTAGCGCGAAATAAACGCGACTGCTGTAGCGCACTCTTCTGATAAAAAAAGATGGCGGATCACTCGGTGGGTAATGGATAGACGGTTGTTTTCTATGTGGTCTTGGTGGCGATTTAAATGAAATTTGCTCGGTCTGTGTTGGTCGATGTCATTTACAATTGCGTTATGTCCTCGTAGGTTGAGATTACCGAGGGCTGTCGACTTCCCGTGCTGCGAAAAAATCAAGAACATGAAGACGAATGGCGTAAGTATCAGACTGACAGCTGCGTATATAATGTACACAATAACACTAGCAGCTCCTCTGCCTTACATGTCAGTGCTCATGTATACAAAAACAGCTACATGCGAATAGCAGTATAATACTATATATCTATATTTTTATATGTAGATATTTACGGATTTAATGGTTTGTTTGTCCAAAAGTAATTTATAATTTCGTCCCTTCGTAGCTTTGGCTGAAATTCTCAGTGTTAAAGACATCTCTGGAAAAAAGCTCTATTATGTCCACTATATTGACTGTGAGTATTAATTATTAGCTTTGGTCACTTACCTCATTTTTTTGCCTTCAGAGTGTGAATGATTCCATATTGAGCTTTTAGTTTCAATTTGTTGTTGTTGTTTTTTTGGAAGTCAATAAGCGCCTGGATGAATGGGTTACTCCAGACCGACTGGATATTAAGAAGCTCCAATTTCCCAAGAAGGAGGCAAAGACTCCTATGAAGAATGGGCTGCCTGGGTCTCGCCCAAGCTCTCCAGAGAGAGACGTGGTAAGAGAATCTATTCTGTACCCTGTGGCTCTAGATGTAGAAACAACACTGCCCCAGGTCAGTGGCAAAAATATACAGTATATCATACACAGCTGTTTTCAGGTCTGCATGCTGTTCCGTCCGTTTATCATCTCTCACTTTCTGTTCAAATTTAGAAGAAGAGTCTAGATCTCCATGTTCAGTCTGCTTCAGCTACTTCAAGAGGCAAAACCCTCCCCACACCGGTACAGAAGATCCCTGCCCGTTCTTTTTTTGCCAGTCAATCTGTACAGAAAGAGTTTATGATGAACGAGCTGAATTAAAGACTCATTTGAATAAGCTCATTATACACTTTTCAAAGTGTGAGGGATGCAGTTTTTGCCTCATCTCGATTTAAACGGCAGATAGCAGTACAATGTACATCTAAAATACTAGATACATTTTTAGTATTTATTACACGGGGAACTGAAAAAATATGTTTTGTTACTCCTAAAGCAAATCTATTCATTTTCTGTATGTTAAAGGTGACATATCATGAAAATCTGACTTTTCCAGGTTTTACGTGCTATAATCAGGTCCCCGGTGCATCTACCAACCAAGAAAACGTGATAAAGATTAACCCAGTAACTTTGTTTTGGTAAGCCATTTTTTGCAAGCGTCTAAGAAAACGAGCGCGTCAGATTTCAAGCGTTGGTGACGTGGCAAAGGGATCTCATTATAATATTACCACCCTAATAGGCATTTTTAAAATGATAGAATAAATGATCTGTGGAGTATTTTGAGCTGAAACTTCACAGACACATTCTGGGGACACCAGAGACTTATATTACATATTGTAAAAAGGGGCATAATATGTCTCCTTTAAAGCTCAACCAGACCCCATCAATCAGAACATTCTCATTACTCGTTAGTCTTTATTTGTTTTCATGAGGTAAGTGGCAGAAGGTCACTCATGGTTTTGTTGTTAGGTATGATGGATTTTAGTACATTTTAAAGAATCTATGCAGAGAAAAAAAGTAGCTGTTGTTTCTGTTTGATCTTACAGAAAAGGAAAGCAGAGTCAGTCTCTTTGGCAACACAAGTGACCGCAGCGACTCCAGTGCCTTCACTTCCTGGTTCTGCGGAAGCTAGTCAGGCCTCTGTCTATCCAGCAATGAGAGATTCCTCTTTCAGCATTAAATCCAGAGACGAGCATGAACAACTCACCTCTCTTACCACAGTAAGAAATGACTGTATTTGAAACAATTCAAGAATAGTTTGTGTCTTCTTACGTAATATTTCATACAAATTATTGAATTTAAATTTAATAAATGTTAGGTATAAAGAAGTTTCTTTCTTTATCGCCTCTGCTCCTTCCTCCTGGAAGAACGGCACATCATCCATCCAGCGTCATCTCATTCCTCCTCAGCCTGGGAGAAAAAGAAAAAGTTGTGGAGGGACAGATGAGGTATGTCCTGCAGCAAAAAATGCTCATTCTCAAAAAATATATATATTTATCAAGATGATGGTGCTGTAAAATATTCAGCATCTGTTAAAAGTCTGATTGTGATGTTTTAGGGCACTTCTTTTCTGTATATTTTATGATGGTACTTTAATTTAACAATAGTACTATTGTTATAAGTGAAATACTGTGTTATACAAATTCTGTACAGTAACAGTGCCTTGCGAAAATATTCATACCCCTTCATTTTTTTCACATTTTGTTAAGATGCTGCCTTATGTTAAACTGCTTTAAATTACTTTTTTCCCACATCAATCTACACTCCATACACCATAATGGTAAAGCAAAAAACAGGTTTTTAACATCTTTGCAAATTTATTAAAAATAAAAAACTTAAATGATTCCATTGCATAAGTATTCATATCTGGAACAGTTGAAATTTAGCTCAGGAGCATTCAAATTGCTTGTAGATGTTACTACACTTCGAGTGAAGTTAACCTGTAGCAAATTAAATTGAATGGGTATGATTTGGAAAGGCACACACATCTTAATAAAAGGTTTAACAGCTGATAATGCTTATCAGAGCAAAAACCAAGCCCTGAGGTCAAAAGAACTGCCTGTAGAGCTCAGAAACAGGTTTGTGTCAAGCCACACATCTGGGGAAGATTTCAGAAAAAAAATCTGCTTCATTGAAGGGTCACAGAAGCATGTAGTCTCTGTTACCCTTAATGGAAGAAGTTTGAAACAACCAGGACTCTTCCTAGAGCTGGCCTCCTGGCCAAACTGAGAAATTGATGGAAAAGGGTCTTGGTTAGAGTGGTGACCAAGACCATGATGGTCACTCTAGTTGAGCTCCATGATCATATGTGGAGATGGGAGAAATCTAGAGAAGGACAAATATCACTGCAACACTCCACCGATATGGGCTTTAAGTCGGAGTGGCCAGACTCAATCTTCTCCTCAGTGAAGACACATGAAAACACACTTGGATTTTGCATAAAAACCCCTAAAGGACTCTCAGACTCTGAGAAACAAGAGTCTCTGGTCTGATGAACCTCAATTCCAAGCATCATGTTTGAAGGAAACCAGGCACTGCTCATCACCTGAAGAGTACCACCCCAAAAGTAAAGTGTTGTGTAAAGCCCCTCATGCTGTGGGGCTGTTTTTCAGTGGCAGGGACCGAGGGACTCGTCAGAGTAGAAGATAAGCTCAATGCACCAAAATATTGAGTTAGCCTTAATGAAAACCCAGTCCAGAGCATTCAGAACCTCAGACTGGGCAGAAGGTTCACCTTCCAACAGGACAATGAACCTAAGCACACAGCAGTGGCCCAGCCAGAGCATGAGCTTGAACCCAATCAAATAATTCTGGAGAAACTTGAAAATGTGCATTTGCTCCCATCCAACCTGACAGAGCTTGAGAAGTGAAGAGGTGAGGAGAAGAATGTCAGATAATTGCCAAATGATGATGATCAAAGTATGAATACTTACGCAATGTACTTTTTAATTTTTTTTAATTTTTAATAAATTTACGAAGTTGTGACAATTCTGTTTTTGCTTTGTAAGTATGGTGTATGGAGTGTAGATTGATGTGGGGAAAAAGTAATTTAAAGCAGTTTAACACAAGGCAGCAACATAATAAAATGTGAAAAAAATGAATGGGGTATGAATACTTTCGCAAGGCACTGTATATTAAACAATACTGACTACTAGTAAGAGCTGAGTGAGAACTGGGTTCCAACCAAAACCAAATCATTAAAATATTTTCCACTGAGATTTTGCTTTCTGCTCTTCTATGGCTTACCTTCTTCCATTCAAATTTCCCAAAGCTTTGCAACCCCTTATGTTTTTCTAGATGGTAAAGATGTTCCAGAATAACAGCCCTCGCTGCTCTACCGTCTATTTGCTGCCAGGAGAGGTC